CCCCGATCTCCATGTGTTTCTCCCCCCGTAAAACACACACCACAACAGCAGCAGCAACAGCAGCAGCAAAGACAACACAGAGTCGCCAGACAGAACAGAAAGGGAACTCGGGGATAGCTACACCCCCCCCTGTGGCCCAGGGGGCTGTTCGGACCCATGCGCCCAATGGTCGGGGATGGACGTCCCCCGTCGTATATCCCCCGGTTGGACTCCAAACATTCTGCCCAGCCAGAACCCAACAAAGTCTGGGAGGGTCGCCATGCCTCCCGCTTGGGAAGGAGCGACTGTCGAGGAGCAAAGAGCTGCACGCGCATACACATATATGCTCTGATGTCAGCGCGAACGTCTTGGAACGGCGCCGGACCTGTCTGGCAGCGCCCCCTTTATCCTCCGTCTTCCCTCCCTCCTAGAAACAGGCAGAGCACAGCAAGCACAGCAGAACCATAAACGTTTGGAGGTCCGCGTAGACTTTTTGGGCCGGCGCTGAACATTCAAATGAACGCCACGCGGACCTCATGCGCGACCATATGCCAACATCCTTGACCAACCAAGTTTTTCACAATTTTTGATATCACAAATTAACTGCATCGACTCGTTCTGCTGTTTTACAGGTGTCGGCTTGCTGTGCGCGCGCACTCGCCGAAATCATAAGAGCACCATGCTTCGATTTACCGTTAGGTCGAATAGCAAGGGCGAGGAGGACGACGTGACGTCTAACCAGTACTGGGGCCTTGCGTTCCCCCGATTTTGGCGTCTGCTTCTACATGTTTAGCCGCGGAGCCTGACTTTTCGGCTTGAGTTCGGTCATCAGTTTTTACCTGAGCGTCCTGGGGATATGGAGGACATAGAGGAGCAGGACGAGAAGGGGGAGGGACGGAAGGGAGAGTGGAGGAGCGAGGAGGGTGAGGATGAGGAGGGAGGGAGGCGGAGGAGGCGAAGGTGGAGCGACGGGGATGAGGAGGGAGGGAGAGCTGGAGGGACGGAGAAGGCGGCACGAGGCGGGGAGGCGTAAGGCGAGCGCGCCCCCCCCCGCCCCTCCCCCCTCCCTCCCTCCGTCCTCCCTCCTCCTCCGAGCAGCTGGCATGCTCGGCGTCCACAGAGGGAGAACAGCACAAATCCTTCTCCTCCGCCTTCTCCTTTCTCCTCCTCCTCCTCCTCCTCCTCGTCCTCCTCCTCCTCCATGTGCCCCCCTTCTCCTGTTCCTCCTTTCCCTCGTCCTCCTCTTCCTCTTTCTCCTCCTCCTCCTCCTGTTTCCCCTTCTCCCCTCCTTCTCCTCCCCCTCCTCCTCGTCGTCCCCCCTCCTTCCCCTCCTCCTCCTCCCCCTCCCCCTCCTCCTCCCTCCCCCTCCTCCTCCTCCTCCTCCTCCTCCTTCCTCCTCCTCCTCTCCTCCCTCCTCCTCCTCCTCCTCCTCCTCCTCTCCTCCTCCTCCTCCTCCTCCCTCCTCTCCTCCTCCTCCTCCTCCTCCTCCTCCTCCTCCTCCTCCTCCTCCTCCTCCTCCTCCCCCCCTCCTCGCTGCGTGACGCGAGGCCCTGTGGCACCTCTGGTACACTGGTGGGTACAAGGGCCGCTCGCCGCTCAGCCTCTCGAGGCCTCGCCCCGCGGGGCCCGTGCCCCGCGCCGCGGCCGGCCCGGCGGGCGGGCACTAGCCAGTATGCGCCGGGGGTTCGTAGAGCCTCAGGCAGTGGCGAAGCGGCGTCCTGGTTCGCCGCCTATAGACCTACCACAGAATGTTCTAAGAACGCTGTGGTCTGCACGAAGTGCCCAGCCATCGTCGCGAGCTCGCGTGTGAGAGTCGACGGCGTGGCGGCGCAGGGCGGCGCAGGATTGCGGACGCCAGGCGGCAGGGAAGGTACGCTGCCCAGCCCGCACGCCGCCGTGCGCTTGCCCCGAGCCCTACTGCGGCCAAGGCCGGCCTCCCGATTCCTTGGTGCCCGCGGGTGGACGATGGGAGACGAAGGCACCAGTGTTCTGGACTGGAAGATAGGGGCACCCGTGTGGCCTGCACGAGATCTTCTCAGAACACGTCTGGCCGAGGCTGTCTTGTTCTGACACGTCGGGCCCGTGTTCCAAGAGCAGCGCTCTTTGTGTTCTCGGGACACGCCTGGGGTTCCAAAGAGCATGTCGTGGTGAGGAGGAGGAAGAAGGAGGAGGAGGAGGAGGAGGAGGAGGAGAAGGAGGAGGGCGGAGGAGGAGGAGGAGGAGGAGGAGGAGGAGGAGGAGGATGAGGAGGAGGAGGAGGAGGAGGAATGAGGATGAGGAGGAGGAGGAGGAGGAGGAGGAGGAGGAGGACGGGAGTGCCGGGACGGTCGGTCCCTGCTCCACTTCGGGGGAGAGGTATCCAGAGGTGGGGCCGGGCAGCGGGCCCGGGTGGCTGCTCCCGTGTCGCGCGGCGCCTTCTTCCGGGGGCCGTTCGGAGCCTTTTGTCCTTCCCTCAAGCAGTGGCGAAGCGTCCCGGCGTGCCTATAGCCCTACCAAACAATGTTCTAAGAATTTAATTGTGGTTCCCACGAAGTGTTCTTAGAACGTTTCTGACCGGGACCGTCTTGAATGAGCACTTCGGTTTTATGTTCTGAGAACATTGTTTTGGTTCTTAGAACAGTTCTGGGTTCTAAGAACATTTCGTGATATGATTGTAGGAATGCCAGGACGGTCGGTCCCTGCTCAATTCCAGTTCCACCTTTTGTACCCCCCCCCGAACTTAGAGGACGCTAGGCCTCCCAGATGGGGTCGGAGTAGATGGGGTCGTAAGGTCGCGGCGCATCGCCGATGCGGTTCGATGTAGGGCCTGAGTTGCTTCACGTTGACGTCGCCAACGCATCGCCGACGTCGACGATGCATCGCAGATGCATCGCCGATACATCGCCGCTGCATCGCCGATGTAACGGCGATGCGGCGCGATTCTCCGACTCCACCTACGCCGACCCTATCCAGGAGGCCTCTAAGGACCGCGGAGGTTGTGGAGGGGATACGTAGATCAGTCGTGGACCCAGAGATCCAGCGTACTGGCAACGTACGGGCGGAGGGTTTTTGTTGCAACTCTCGACCTCTACGGGCCCTCGCCGGGCCCCGAAACTGACACAAGACGACTCGGGCTGAAGAACTGGCCCCGGGGCATGGGTCACGAGTCGGGAGCCTTGGGACGGGGGTCACTGCAAACGGGGGTCAGCCACGGCACCGGATCCTGCAGGATCCTGCGAAGACCCCCTCTGGCTGACCCGGGTTAGCGAGCCGCTCGTGGCCGCGAGGCGGCCGCATATATTGGTTGACCCGGGTTTGCGAAGACCTGCGTTGCAGTCTTTTTTTCTTGCATTGCAGTTTCTGGCTTCCTGTTGACCCGGGTCTGGACTGACCCGGGTCAGAAGATCCCCGAACGAGATTTCCGGGGACCCCGCATTGAAGGGATCACGATATCGGATCTCTCGGGATGCGGGATGCAAAGATGTGTTATAATCACGGTGGAGGGAAACAGTTCATGGACACTCCCCCTTCTCCCCAGAAATTCAAAGCTGGCACGCGCGGAGGAGACTGCGGTCGAAGTGTAACTCATTAGACCCACCGCCAGCGTTGCACCTCTGGGGGGAGGGGGAGGGGTGGGCCCTCGTTTCCTTGGTATCGCTCGGACGTGTGCATTCTTTCTCGGCGTGGATACATTAAGGAGCATCCTGGATCATCCTGCGAAGAAAACCGCGCACGAATCCGAAAAGAAAGCACCGGGAGTGGACGTCCGAGCGATGGCCAGTACTTCGGAGCCCTCGTGGGCCCGAAGAAGTCAATGCGGGAAGACGCCCCCGGGCCCCAAAGGGGGCACGCTGGGAGCCCCAGGGGGCCACGCGACGCGCCCGAGGACACTCGTCGGTGTCGTTTGGCCGGCCCCCATGCCCACCCCCATGCCCATCCAGACCCCCGGCATCCCCATCCAGACCCCCAGCCTCCTCCTCCTCCTCCTCCTCCTCCTCCTCCTCCTCCTCCTCCGCCTCCTCCTCCTCCTCCTCCTCCCTCCTCCTCCTCCTCCTCCTCCTCCTCCTCCTCCTCCTCCTCCTGCTCCTCCTCCTCCTCCCCCTGCTCCCCCTCCTCCTCCAGAGGCCGCCGCGCAGGTGGCCACGGCGCGCACAGGAGGAGGAGGAGGGGACACACACACATCTCGAAACCCGAAGGGAACGGCCCATGTCCCCATGCAGGGGGTCGGTCGGCCACCGGGGCCCAGGCCACGTTCATCGAGGATCGGGGTCGGTCACACGATGCCCAGTTTGCGGTCGGGGCCCCCGAAGGAACCCTCAGGGTTGAAGATTGGGGCTCCCTGGGATCCAGCAAGAGGCCTGAGGACACTCCCACTCGTGCCTCGATGGCACGGTGGCGGAGCTCTGTCCTGAGGACATGCTGTGGCAGGCCTCTGGAGATGCTGGGGCACGGTCGGTCCCTGCTCCACCCTTGGCGGCGGCCGCAACGACTGCGTCGCCCAAGAGGGGGCCCTAGAGAGCCATTGCTGGCTCCAAATTGGGGCCCTGAAAAGGGCCCACTCAGGGGCCCAGTCTTCATCCCCCATTCAGGTCACCCCCCCTTCCCTTGGTATCGCTCGGACGTGTGCACTTTTCTCGGCGATTTTTAAGGAGCATCCTGGATCATCCTGCGACAAAAACCACGCACGACACCGAACAAAAGCAGAGAATGGACGTCCGAGCGATGGCCAGTTACCACCCGCCCGACCCTTGGCGGCGGCCGCAACGACCGCGCCGCCTGCGTTTTCGTGGCTCGCCGCTGCCGCCGACGGCCCCGCCGCCGCCCGCGCCAGAGGCCTGCGCCGTCGCCCGCGGCGTCGCCTGCGCCGTCGCCTGCATCGTCGCCCGCGCCGCCGCCTGCGCCGTCGCCGCTGCCGGCTGCCCCTCCCGGGCCCGCCCGGCCGCGGGCGGGCGCCCGCGCGCCGCCCGAGCCCCAGGCCGGCCAGCCTCGGCTCGCCGCCGCAGATGGCGGGCCTGTCGGCCCGCGCCTCGCCGTGGGGGTAACGCGGGGCGCTCTCGGCGGCCGCCCTCGCGCCTTCGGGGCGCGGCCGCCCCACCCCTCTTTCCCTCCCCTCCTCGCCCCAGGCCCCCCCCCCTGAGTCGTGACGAGCATCGCGACGCGAGGGGCGTTTCGCTATGGGCGGCCCCTGGGGGCCCTTGCCGGCCCTCGGGGCCGTCAGACAGGCGACTCGGGGGAGGAACGACCGGCCCCGGCGAAGGGCTTCAGACCTCCCCCTGGGGGCTGCGTCGGGCAGAACAAAGAATCAGGACGTCGCGGGTGGCTGGGCCCCTCGCCCCGCCCCGCCCTCACCCCCGCTCCCTCCCTCCCTGCCTCGCCCCCCCCCAGACCCCCGACGTTTTTGTTTTTGTTCATGACGTCGACCCCGAGAGGTTTCGACCCACTCCCCAGGAGCGGGTTTGCATCCTGCGTCGTTTCTTTGACGGTCCATCTAGGCCTCCTAGATGGGGTCCGAGTAGATGGGGTCAGAGGATCTCGCCGCATCGCCGATGCATCGGCGATGCGGCTCGATGCGGAGCCCGATTTTCTCCACGCCGATGTCGCCGATGCGTCGCCGACGTCCCCGACGCATCGCCGATGCATCGCCGATACATCGGCGATGCATCGGCGATGCGGCGCGATCCTTCGACCCCATCTACTCGGCCTCTAGTCCCGAGGCCCGGTCAGGGTCCCCCAGGGGCCGAGAGTCGTGGAGCGCCTCCCGGCGTGCGTGTGGTGTCCCTGCTCGAGGGGGGTCCTGCGCCCTCCCCTCCCCAGCCGCGCATCCCAGCCTTGCCCGCGCCCCTCCCCCGTCGGCCCGCGCACCCGCCGTGGGGGCATGTGCGGGGGGGGGTCGTCCTCGGCGGCCGCCCGCCTCGTCTCGCCGAGCAAAGTGCCTACTCGCCCACGTCCGAAAAGCCATACGTCAGACTTCGTGTAAATATATCGTAGATCCCCCGCGGCGGATCCAGACCATTTGCGAGCAGCTACTTTGCGAGCAGTGGAACGCTCTTGTCAATCGTCGTAGAGTTGAGTCGGGCGTGTCCCTGTACAGGAGGAATACAGTCGGCCCAGATCAGTAGGCCGGCCTTGCCAAACCAAGGGTACCTTTGTGTCCTGTGTCTCGCGGCCCATGCCTCCTGCATTCCTGTGGCAATGTGGCCCTCAGAAGGGTCTTTTGTCCTCTCGCGTGCCCTGTCCAATGAAGTCCGACTGTGTTCAGCAATGGTCACAAAAATCAGGGGCGATTTTTTGAGTATGTTTGAGCATGTTTTGCGTATTCGTTGGTCATTTTGCATTTTTCGGCCAAGATCCGCCCACGCCCGAACTGACCCTGCCTGGCTCCTCCACTCGTGGAATCTCCTGGGACGGCCTCGTCGCCACGGCCTAGTTCAGGGGAACAAGCAATGACATCAACATAAGAGCTCGGAGGTCCGCGTGGGTTTCTCGGATCGGCGCTGGAACCCCCTTGGCGGCGCCCCCGGCGCCGCCCCTGGCGCGCTCCGCGCGCCAGGCATGGAGTCCAGCGCCGATCCGTGCGCACCCCGGGAGAGAGCCGGGGAGCAGCGGTATCGGTCTTCTTCATTCCCCCACTCTCGGGAGCGCGTCCACGCCTCCCAGCTCTCCCTCCGCGATGTTCTCCACGCCGACGTCACCGATGCATCGGCGATGCAGAAATTTGAATTTGCAGTTCCTCGGCTTTTCTAGAACTCGCCCGAGGAATCGTTCAGTGGTGGCCCGCTCGCAAACCTGGCAGTTTGGTCAGTGAGCCCTCGCCCCTCCAACGTATGTCTCGCATGCATGTCTAACCATACGCCACAGTAGCCGCAGGCTTCGGGTTCTCCCCGCACTGGTGGTCGCGCGTTTGGTCGTTCCTCGTGACCTCGTACCCCCCCCCAATCTCCCTCTACCCCCTTGTCCACATACTCCTCTCTCGCTTGTGTTTAGTGTAGTTTAACTGGCTGGTCCTCACCGAGACTGGTGGCTGCCGTAGCTGCTGTTTGCAGATTCTTCCAGCGTGGTGGCACGCAGCCTCCAGGTCTCTCCTGGTGGCATCACGCGGGCTGCGGTCGATATGCCGTACCGCATTGCGCGATTAATGCAAGTCAGTTTCCCTCGGGGGGGCGCCCTTCAGTCCACACACCCCGATCGTGGCCAGGCTCACCTCCGAGCCTGGGGCTCATCGAGAGAGATTTGTATATATATATATATATATATATACCCAGACGTCCAGCGGCTCGGGCCCTCCAGAGCACTTGGCCCCCCCCCCCGTCGGATGCTGCTGGAAGCTGTCCTGGCCAGGAGCTCCCAGCTTCTCGTGCCATTTTGGACCCCCTGGGGCCCTCTCGGCCTCGTGAGGCATGCTCTGGAAGCCGTCAATCCCGGCGGGAGGCGTTCCGAGGCCGAGCGCCGCCTGGACGCGGCCGATCTGTCAAACGACGCGCGCCTTTCGGAGAGGGCCGCGTGCCGTCGAGGGCCCAGGTCGTTCTATCGAAGTCGCAGAAGTGCAAATGGCGAAAACAGTAGCTTGTGGCGCTCCGCGCGGGTTTCTGGGATCCGCGCTGGGCCCCCCCAGGGCGGCGCCTCCAGCGCCGCCCCTGGCGCGCGGAGCGCGCCAGGAAGGGTGGTATGGCGCAGATCCAGGAAGTCCGCGCGGAGCGCCAAAAGTTTATGTTTCTAGCATTATCTCTTCTTTTGGTTGAGGGCACAGGCCGTTCTATCGAACGGCCCTGCACCCTTTGGAGGCCCACGGCGTGCCAGAAGCCAGCGCCGATGTCGCGACGTGACCCGGGTTCGACGACAGGGGGGAATTGGCCCAGGGGGGGGACAGGCGTCGACCCCCGAAAATCACCCAGCCGATCGCCAATCGGGGCCTGGGCCCCCCCCCTCCGCGCCCAGGAGCCCGTTAGTTTCGCTGTCGGGAGCCCGTCGCCAACCTGCCAGCGATGCACTCCCGGGCCTCGCAGACGGGGTCGGAGGATGGCGCCGCATCGCCGATGCATCGACGATGTGGCTCGATGCGGGGCCGATTTACTCCACACCGATGTCGCCGATGCATCGCCGACGTCGACGATGCATGGGCGATGCGGCGCGATCCTTCGACCCCGTCTGCTTGGACAGAAACCTTGGAGGCTTCTGTGTCGGGAGCCCGGCGCCGACCTGCCAGCGATGCACTGCCTCCCCCTTCCGAGGCCAGGCCCCCTGTGCGACCCCCCTCACTCGAAGAAGAACAAGCGGCATACACATGAGCTTTTGGCACTCCGCGCGGATTTCTTAGATCCGCGCTGGGGCCCCGTGGCGGAACCTTCGGCGCCGCCCCTGGCGCGCTTCGCGCGCCAGAGAGGGGCCTCCAGCCCAGATCCATGAAATCCGCGCGGAGCGCCAAACGTCCATGTTTATGCAGTTCGTCTTCTTCTAGCATAGCCTCCCCCCTTTGAGCCAGTCCCCCCTTGCGACCCCCCTCACGTGAGTTAAGGTGCAACTCCTTGGAGCTGAAATCGAGTATCGGTGCTAGTAGATGCGTGGCCGAAAACAGTTCCAGTCCGGCATAATCCTGTTCAATTCCTGCTCATCCTGCTTATTACATCTTAATATTGATGTTCAATCCGGGCTAGTCTGGCTTCGTGGCCCCCCAGTCGTGCTTAATATACATATAACGGCGCACCGGGCTCGGGGGCCGAGGGCCCGAACCTCGACCACAAAATGTGGGGACCAGGGCCTGGGCCCGCCTTAAAATCGCCCCGGGGAGCCCTCAGACAGCAGTCCGTCTCGAGACACCCCCAAGACGTTGTCCAGTGGTCTCTGGCGACGCACGATGCGTTTTAACTTGCCCCGGAGGCCCCCAAGACGCCCCAAGAGGCCTTTAAGATGCCGCCCAAGAGCACCCCGAGAGGGCAACATCGTTGATGTTCATTGGTTGTTTCACATGTTTGTTGCATTATCGCTGTTTCATGCTCCCTGCGCTAAAGCACCGCCCAAGAGGCTCCCCAAACCGCTCCAAGACCGCCTACGAGGCCTCCAAGAGGGCCCCAAGACGGCCCAAGATAGCCCCGAGACGGCCCTAGAGCCGCCCAAGACAGTGCAAGAGGGCCCCAAGAGGGGCCCAAGAGAGGGAAAGCGAACTGAAAAATCAAGCTCTCCGCCCCAAGATGCCCCCAAGAGGCGCCAAGATGCCCCCAGGAAACCTCCAAGAGGCCCCAAGAGGCCCCCGAGAAGCCCGAAAGAGGCTCCGAGAGGCCCCAAGACGGCACCCAAAAGGCTTCAAACCTCGTTCTAAGAGGCCCCCGAAGACTTACCAAGAAGGTCCCATGACGACTTCGAGAAGCAGTCCAGGATGCTCCGAAAAGGCCCCAAGAAGCTAGCTAGAACTTGAGCGCGCGCGAAGCGCGCGCGATGGTTCTAGTATCTCCTAATCGTTCTCACGACGATTTCCCAGGAGTGGCCTCCTAACTTTCGACCGTTCCGACTTCTGGCGTGCCAGCATGTAGCAAAGTGGTCATGACATACGAGTGAAGAGTGTCCTAAGGTTTGCTTGCAATTTTGCCGATTTGCTCGCAATTCGCAATGTGCACATGCCGATCGCCCCGCTCCCACACACCCCTGGAAAAGTCACGCAACTTTTGCAGGTCATGTCGAAATATTGTCTGAGGGACTTGGGGGCAGTTTTTCACCAAGGGTCTGCTTCTGATGGTCCTGGGGCCTGGTGACGGCCCACCGAGACCAAAAAACGACAAGCAACCAACGGCGAACACACAAATCCGTTCCCAACGTTGCCTGACTTCCTCAGGACAGTGCAGGACCCTGGGGCGGCCCAGGCTTAGTGGGCCCTGGAGACGACAGGACCGATTTCTTGATTGCCGGGTCCGTTTTGCAGTTGCTTTGCCAGTTTCGACGCCGTTCTCTTGCCGGTATCGTCGCCGCTGTTTTCCCTGTTCGGCTCCTGCTCCAATCCCAGAGTTGCTTCTGTTGCCGTTTTCCAATGGCATTTTTTTTGAAAAAGCGGTGA